ATCTCTTTTCTCCAGAGAATGGCTCTGGCCTTTTACAGAGATTGATTTGGGAAATTTGTTTCTGTTCAGTTCTCCTTTTAGGCCCAGCTATTAACCCAGCCCTAACAAAATCTTAAAGCCCATCTGGGATGGGAGAGGACTATGAACAACTTACTGCAGGGCACAACACATGAAAAGGAAGAATGCAAGGATTACAGGATTTAAACTATTAACTAGGAGCCCAGCAGGGACCCTGGCAGCACCCCTTGCTCCCTGAAGGTATCCACGGAGCTGAGGGCAATGCCTGGTGATGCTCTGTCCAGGATGCCAAAGGACACCAGACACAATGCAGTCACCAGGACCATACCTCATGGCCTGGATGACCGGGAAGAGATTCCCCAGATTGGTGATATCTCTGATGGGGTGGGTGTATATAAAAATATGAAGGGTGAAGAGCGTAGACAGAACTGCAAGATGATTAGACCTTAATCAGAGCCTAACCTTGACTAACCCATGAGATGCTGAAATACCATTTAGAAAGCTACTGGAGTACAAGGAGGACAGAATTTTCTCACTAGCTTTTAAACTCTTTTTTAAGGAAAAGTATGATTCCGTTTTATTGTTTTTTCTTATAACCTAAAAAGCAGACATTAGGCTAGCCCAGTTTTACTAATTCTGTTTGGAAGAGGTTGCTCAAATTTCTTTCCTCTGACTTAATGTACAAAATATGCTTTCTAGCTTTGTAATATTTTGCTACATGTGAGAACTACTCAGAGAATAAAACGCTATTTGTTAAATACCATGAGGAAGGTTTGAAAATAGACCTCTTAGTGTTCCATTTGATCAAATTTCTTTGACGGATTAATTTATTTTTTTATACAAAATCTACACACTTTTTTCCTGATACAAGCTAGCGTATTTGCTAAATAAGTGTCACCTGGTAATTTCTTTTCACTTAAATTTAAAATATTTAAGGTCTAGCTCCACTCACCTGGGAGAGATATTCCTTATAGACATCTGTGAATACTGGACGTGTATACACAAAAACTGGAAGGGGATGAGTAGCATTAGAGACATATGAAATTCTAATGGCTTCTTGAACTCTGTTGCGAACAAAGAGTTGGGCATTTCTGGAAGATCTTAGGGCTGTCTCTAGATAGACAGATGGATAAAGTGCTGTGCTTTCCTCCCACAACCAATTAAGCTCATTATTTCTTTCTATTTCAATATCTAAACAGGTTCCCGTATAATTATGTGGGTTTTGTTTGTAATCATAGTTATAACAGTCTGGATAAAGGTAATATCCCCACAGACGATTTGGCTTCATTTCTATGCCCAGCTTTAAAGATTCCAACATAATTGATTTTGCTGCAGCTTCAAATTCCATTTTAGCTATAGTCCTGGCTTCAGCTTCTGATAGACTGAGGTCTCTCTGCTGAAACAGTTCAATGGATTCCTGTCTGTAAATATCTTTTGATCCCCAGTTCCTTATCCACACAGGTCTCCAGTTTTCCCAGTCAATGACAGCCAATCCAAACTGTTCATCTGAAGGAATGTAGAACTGGATGTCCTCTTTTGCTTTTTTTAAATGATTCTCCAGCAGTGAGAGTTGGGGGAGTCCTCCATTGAATGCCTCTCCTGTGACTTCATTTTTGTAAGGATAGTAGCCAAGCCTGTCTGGATAGAAGAGAGTGATGTTTTGCCCAATGGATGTCTTCAGTGTGCTTCCAATGAGAGAAAAAAATTTCATGTCAAGCTGCACTCCAGTCCTTTCAGTACAAAGTTCTGTAGGAGCATTCCAGATAGAAAGGAAAGGTGAATTAGAAACAAGTGGACGAGCTCTTATGTTCAGAGAGGAGCAGCAAGAAACTAGAAGAGTGGTGAACACCATACCGGATGCTATAGGATATGTACAGGTAACACAGATACCAAAACTTTGTATTTGTCTTAGAGTTTCCATTGTAGCATGTGCAGTGACATTAGATGCTTCTGATCAGACAAAAATTAAATGCTCTATAGGTGTTCAGAAGGTTGGTAGTCTGTCAAAAGCTTTACCATACGATATATTTCTTCAGATTGATTCCTACTAAGCAATATTCCTCAGGTGTAAAATAGGGGTGTCCTTTATATGAGGCTCTCTTATTTCAGGCTGCAGAAAACCTTTCAGCAACTTCTGAGACCTGATGCAGAAAAAGAAACAAATGTAGATAAAGTAAGAGATGATAAATATTTCTTCTCTAACCATGAAAGAAATACCATTTGTGATTTTGAATACATTGTAATCTTTGAACAAAATTCCCCTTTGAAGGAAAAGCACAATGTACAATCATAGAGTAAGTAAACTCTCTCTATAAAAAAATGTATATATATAAAAAGTAGACATAAAACTGACAGTGGAATGGTATCCAGTGAGTCAGGGATCAGAATGAGTACGCTTGGTAGTAGTCCTGATTGTGCCAGTGACTGATGTCTGTAAACATGAGCAATCTCACGATGCCTTCTCTTAATCAACAGTAATCTATATGTACTATTTCTCACCTATCTCAAAATAAAGTTCTAGGTCTTAATTCACTAATTTTACAGAGCACTTAAGGGAAGATACAAGATAACACAAAACTGGAACCTGGACTGTTGTACACATGCACGAAAACAATCCACGTACACTCATTTAACTCAGTGAGGTATCTGAAATATTACAGGCATTCTATCTTCTGTCCAGAACGCTCTTGAACAGGCTCAAAAGCTGTCTGTCATCTTGGTATATGGGCATCTATATGTTGCTTGAGGCTATTTGAGATCTACAGATTAATTGACTCCAAGTCTGCCCAGGAGCGTAATTCATTAGGAAAGCTGAGGTTGTCCATACACCCACAGTGAGCAGCCACACTTTTATTCAAGAACATAACGGTAGTGGTGGTCATCATGGTATGGTCAGCAACTTCTACATAGTAGCCCAGTAGCTAAAGCATTCCTCTGTGCAGTAACTCATGTGAATCCACTTTCCTCCTGATTTTGAAATGGTTCAAATCTGGATCTGTCACCTTCCATAGAGACCTCACGATGAGGACATAAAATATCTAAGGAGTATTTAAGAGTGCGCGCAAAAATACAGGAGTCACCGTGAAATGGGCCACAGGGTGGCTGGAAATGTAAAATCTCTGAGGACAGATTAAAAAAAAGGCAAACAAGATTTTGGTTTGCATTTACTGAATTCAGCTGGGAGTGGAAACTGCAAATTGCTGTT